CAGCCCACAAAACACTGAGAAAAGCACAGGAATGTGTTGAGGATCCCACGAGTCCTAAAAACAAACATAATATTCAGAGGAATATTAATTGTGCTCAACACAGAACAATCCAGCATCCATACAAATATAACAAAAATCCAGAAAGAATTCAAAAGAAATGTGGAGTGATTCATCACCTTTAGGGCGCCATAGCAGAACCCATAGAGCATCGCTATGGTGGTGATGCTGCGCACAACACTATAGAGAGCTGAGAGCAGACTGGTGCATGCTGGGAGTGAAGATAGACATAACAATGAGTCTCTAAAACGCAACACAGTTTTGTAGTTTATGAAATGAATGTAAATAAAAAGAAATAGTAGAAACATTGGTAACTTCGTTACCTTCGGTTCTATTTGTTCACATTAATTAACTAGATTTTTAGAAAACAAACTAACAATAAAAATTAGTTAATGTTCATTTCAACATTTATTAATATATTATTAAAATCAAAAGTTATTAATAATAGGAATCATTTCAGAGAGAATCACAATGCATATGCTTATTTTCCCCCGTCCTAATGTAAAAGTGTGCATATGTTTTACCGTTTCCTCCGAAGACATGAATGTCAAGTTGCTCAAGCAGGTACATGACGAAAGTGTTAATCTGAGGGAGCAGCCCAATGAAGAAGATGATGGGAAAGCACAAAGTGAAAACTGGAGAGAGAGAGAGAAAGAGAGAGAGATAATGTAAAGCTGGAGTACTTTTAGTCTCGTCACATCAGCAGGATTTTCTCTTTCTCTGGAATATCTTTCCTCTTTCATAGGAATGCTGAGAAAAATTGTACAGCATGCAGATTTCAATAAAAGAGCAAAACAATAACTGCTACATATTCATCAGCTGTGAATTTTTGTCCTAGTGTGTATCAGTGCTCACCAATGAGGAGATCCCGCGCCTGAGACAGCAGGACAGAGCTGGTGAGAGCGACTCCATACAGAGACACTGCAGTGTAGCTGCTGTTTACACTCCCATAGTGCAACAGCCAGATCAGCCCACAGCACAGACAGAAATACACAGGCCTGCTGTAAGCGATGATTCGATTATGACCCTAAACAAACACGCACAGAAGGGTGAGAAAAACATTACATCTCTGAATTTAGACCCCCAATCTCTCATTTAACTTAAATGTTTTTTTATATTCAACAAAAAGTAATGCATGGTCTGTAATTAAACGCAATTTATCATGCTAGGTGCTATTAATTAAATAACATATAATCATGAATATACACCGAAGGGTTGAAGGCAATATGACTTAAATGTTTTTGAAAGAAGTCTATTTTGCTCATTAAGGCTGCATTTCTTTGATCAACAACAACACAGTGAAAACAGTAATACTGTGAAATATTACTACAATTTAAAATTTAACTTTTTTCTATTTTAATACATTTTAAAAGGTAACTTAATTTTGTGTGATGGCAAAGCAGAATTTTCAGCAGCCATTACTCCAGTCTTCAGAATCACATGAACCTTCAGAAATTATTCTAATATGATGATTTGTTGCTCAAGAGACATTCTTATCATTTTCAATGTTGAAAACACGTGTGCAGCTCAATATTTTGGTAACTGTTTGGTTACCAACATTATACAATCTTCTTTTGTGTTCAGCAGAAGAAAAAAATTCATACAGGTTTGGAACAAATTAAGGGTGATTAAATGATGACAGAACTTTCATTTTTGGGTGAACCATCCCTTTAATCACCGCAATTATCCCATTTATTTTTCCACCAAATTTACATGCTTTTAGCTCATTGTAATGAAGTGTGTTATTGTATTTGAATGTGTGTGTTACTCACATGTCGGGGTGATGAAGAGTCGGGTTGGACACTCTGATTGAAGAACAGAAAGACAAATTTTCATTAAAAATTATTCATTATTGGTATGGTTTTGAAAAGTGTGTGATTCTCACCTTCAGCAATGAGTACTGGCAACTGGCAATAACGAGGCAGAACTGAAAGACCCAAATGTCAGTGAAGAACCCATTAACTAGCAGCACAGAACCCAGGAAGGCCACGAGAACCGCCAGAGCCACTGAGAGCACATTCTCCAGAACCTCCCGGTTCCTGACAAACACACAAACACATGCAGCATCATCGGGATATGAGCTGAGACACATCAGTAATACACATTAATGTGTGGGTTTGTGTGTACCTGTCGAAGAGGGCAAGTAATGTGAGTCTGTCAAAGTGCAGCCTGACCCACAGGTACGGCAGCAGCCAGAGGCGGTAGTACTGCTTGGTTTTGTGTGGGTGCGTGTGCGAGTGCGTGTGATTATGCGTGGAGTCCTGCGTGCAGTGCGGCGCCTCCTGCAGGTCAGGACTCCTGTCCACATCGTGCTGTTCCAACAGCTCTGGGTCCATGGACAGTAAACGATTCAGACGCATCTGAGGAAAAGAGAACTAAGCCAGGGTGAGTTTACACACACACACTGAGCTCATTGTCTCAACTGTGCTGCTTCTCATACAAGCGCTATTGTGCGCAATGCATAATCTTACACTGTATGTCAAATGTTTTTTCTCACAGTCTGTGGCTGAATTATATCTCAGAGTGTTTGCATAAAGAAAACATTCAGTCTGTGTTTGTGAGTATTTGGTAGCACTCACCAGGTCATGAGGGTAAAAACCAACTGAGGTAGAACTGGAGAGGTGGGAGTCTGTTTCCCTGCAGAGAGAAAGACTTTGTTAGTTCTGGGATATTCAACAAAGGATTCTGTGCTGTATTACAGTTAACTAAAACTAAAACAATTTAAAAAGAATTACTTATGCATGCATGCATGTATATATATATATATATATATATATATTACTTAAAAAAAATTATTTTACTTAAAATGAAAAAAATAGTTTAAACTTATTTTATTTACATTTAGAGTTATTTTAACTTGCTGTGCTAAAATAACTAAAACTGAAATTTAAATGAATAAAATCTATAGACATTTAAAAAAACTAATAAAAATGACAAAAACACAAACCAAAATTAATACAACTTAAACAAAAAAATTAATGAAAAATATAATAAGTAATAATGTAAAAAAAAAAGATTAAAATATTAATACTTATTATAATAGTATCTCAATGATAACACTAGCTGTAACTCACCAGAGGTTGTTGGACGCTCGTCTGGTTGCGGGCTCAAAGTTCACCAGGGACATGTCACATCCTCCAACCTCATAGAGAGGCGGGGTTAGCTTCCCTGAGTCACACAAACACACAAGGGGTCAGGGGTCACATAAAAGACATCACGAAGGATCACATTAGTGTGGCACTTAAGCCTTTTGCCACATACAGGACACTGACCCCCAATGGCTGCTGGTCTGCACTAAGTAGTGGTCGACCGATATTGGTTTTTTGACAGCCGATGCAGAT